GCGGTGGAACCAAGTGGACAACATAATCCTCGTAAGTATACCGAGGACTTGCGACATTCGCGTTCTCCCCAGATGTGCAGGAGGCCGCTAGCAAGCGGCCGAATCTGGCGGAGTAGAAGGTGGAGTCGCCTCACCTTCCGCGGAGCTCAGTTTCCCGAGCTGAGGCGGGGTCGCACATCCTCCTTGCCCTGATCTTGGCACAGGGAGGTCTTGTGCTTAGTGTTGTTGCACAAATAGCAGCTGCCGTAGCGGCCGCGAACCTTGTACTCCGCCTCGGTCAAGTCGAACTTGACCCATGAAACTTGTACTGGCTGTCCATTTCCTGCCTGCGATGCGGATTTCGCCTTCCCATTGTTGCGGGACTTGTTGTTGCTTCACAGCTGGACAGCAGCAACCTGATCTCCGTCACTTGATGCTGGAGTGGCTGCTGGTTTATCTCCACTGTCCGACTGGATGGCAGCGAACTGCTGCTGTTGCGGACCGGTTCTTACCTTCTCCACATAGGTAGGCTGCCACGTTGACTTCTCGTGTGTAGCTGCCCTGTTAGTCTTGATGATCTCCCTTGCCTTGTTGATGATCTCTGCGAAAGTGTTGTACTTCTCGCGATCACCAAGTGCGAGGCTGAGAACGGCGCATGACCTGTTGTAGAACTCACGCCGCAGGTGCGGAAATGGCAAGTCCAAATCGGGCGTTGCCACGATCTTCTGCCATTCCGTGAGTCAGTCACGTGTCGGTGTGCTCCCTTGAGCAATCGTGAAGATGCGGTTCATGGCGAGTGCCGGGGCATCGTCGACGATGAACCGCTTCTTCCATTCCTTTGTCATGTCCTCCAAGGAGACCTTCTTGTACAAATCTGAAACCTGGACGCCGTGGATGGTTGCCATGTGGCTGAGCCAGATCTGACAACCTCCCTTGGTGTTGATGAACAGAGCACTGATGAACAGATGGTCAAAGACTTCGTGAATCCCCAACTCCGTTGTAAATCCTTGCCACCAGACGACCGGGTCTTGATGTGTGTAGTCATCAAATTTCTCGATCCGGAACGTCGGCATCTCGTATGGTGTCGCCGAGCTGTTGTTGTGGCTGTGGTCAGTCTGCTGTTGCTGACTGATCTTAGTGTCCAGCAATTCGAGCCGCTGGCTGATGGTGGCCGGCTCTGTGAAGGCACTTATGTCTCCTAGCATTGCCACTACGTGGTCAACGCGTTCCTCTAGTTTGCGGCTAGAGGATGCACTGCTGGAAGCCCCAACATCTGGTCCTGGTACAGCCTGTTCCAGGCCTAGTACACGGGCGTCCAGTGCCCGTGTTGCATCCTCGTGCTGAGTCTTATGATTCCGCACGGCCCGCTGGAGGTTTGCCAGCTCGGACTGTAGGTGGTTACACGTGTAAACCAACCTGCTCACGAGTTTGGCCATGAACTCCCTATGCTGCTCTTCCGGTGTTGCCTCGTCGCCATTCGGTTCAAAATGCCAGTACTTGAGTTTCTCGATGCTGCTGGCTTCATGCCGCTGCAGTAGAGCCTGGGCTTCCTTGCGGCGAGCCTGGGCATCTGCGTCTGCTTCGGCCTGTAGCCGCAGCTTCTCTGCTGCTGCCGCTTTGTCAGCCTGTAGCTGGGCAGCCTTGGCTGCCAGCTGGCGTTGTTCCTCAGCCTCGATTACAGCGAGCTGAGCCTGGAAACGCTTCTTGTAGTCGGCAATGGGCTCATTGGCCAGTTGGCCTGGCAGGCCCGTCATGTTGCTGACGTGGCACTGCTGATGTGGCACTGCTTACGTGGCACTGTGTCTGACGTGGCACTGCTGACGTGGCACTGCTTACGTGGCATTGTCTGACGTGGCACTGCTGACGTGGCACTGTGTCTGACGTGGCACTGCGACCTGGCACTGTCACGTGGCACTGTGACGTGGCACTGTGTCCTGGCACTGTGACGTGGCACTGCTGACGTGGCACTGCTGATCTGGCACTGTGACGTGGCACTGCTGACGTGGCACTGCTGATGTGGCACTGCTGATCTGGCACTGTGACGTGGCACTGCTGACGTAGCACGATACCGAACCGGGATGCATGCAAGGGGTGGGTGGGAGGGAGAACGTAGGTAGGTAACCAACCCAACAATACCTTCCTCCGGCCCTAATCAACAGATCAAAAATAAAAAAAATAAAAGAGGACTACTTCCTTCTTTTTTTTTTTTTTTGTATATCTGTCGATCTATTATGAGTAGGATATGTCAGAAAAGTACTATGAACAAGATCTAGGCTAGGTTCCGCAAAGTTTCGGCTTTTACAAACTGCGATCTTGGGAAAATTTTGCGAAATGGAGTAAAGATGCGCTTTTCAGAAAAGAACGAAATCCAGTTTCTGAGAATATAGCAACCTCCGAATATGCCTAACGCAATATTGGTAGGCTTTGCAAGATTTCGGTTCCAAAAAAATTTTGCGAGATAGAATGGAAATGCGTTTTTCAGAAGAGAATAATTTCGGTTTCCGAGAATATGACCACTTCTATCGTTGTTCCACTATGCCTAGAAACGAAATACGAAAGTCAGAAAATATGCGAATATCAGAAATTTCGGCTATGTATGCAAACATCAGAAAACGAAATGCTACTTTCAGAAAGTTCGGATATTTGTTGCGTAAAAAAAACGAAATGCAAATATCGGAATTTTCAGGTAGATCGTAATGCTATTATCAGGAATTTCAGATAAAACGAAATGCGATTTTCAGAAATTTTCAGATATTTGTTACGTGAAAACGAAATACTAATATCGAAATTCTCAGAAAACAACTAAATGCGATTATCAGAAATTTCAGATATAACGAATGCTATTATTACGAATTTTCAGATATGCGAAAGAAAAAAAAAATTCAGAGATTTGACGAAGTCCTACTTGATTTACTAATGAGTTCAATAGATCAAGCAAGCTCGCTACTTGATTGAGCTGGTCTTCTGAATGAGAGGTCCGCGCCGATACCAAACTGTTGCATACCGTAAAGGTGCAGACAGAACAAGAACCGACCTCTCAATGCAAAGTACAAGATGGAGCAAACGGAAGACTTAGATACCAATGATCCGATCAATCAAGGTTGCAATGCAGTCCAGAACATACATCACCATCATCATCCCAGGGTGTGAAAGGGGTCTGGCGCTTCACACAGGAAGACTGCGCCAGCCCCACACATACACAGACGAAGATGAGGGGGGTGAGACGAAGAGGRGGGAAAGATGGGAATGTCGTCAACACCAAGTCTTCGGCACAGGCCCAAATAGTCCCCCGTCAAAATGTCTGAATCCCAAATGTCGAGTCTGTATCCAATGTCGTCAAGTCTCAAGTCATATCTCTCTCTCGTAGTCCACAGATACTGAGAAGTAGGCAGCGAGAGGGGAAGAAGAGGTGGTGGACTTAGAAGAGGAAGAAGAAGAACTCTCTCTCTCTCKCAGTCCAGTACTAACCTGTAAAGTCGGCGCCTTGATGCAAGTACCACGAAGATGGAGCTGAGCGATGGCGCCACAGGTAAGTACCGCTGGCCTCCGCCAGCATCTCTCTCCCATATCACTACTACACTACTGCTATAGCGCCCAGCGCTGAAGACTACAGCTATGGCGCCCAGCACCGAAGACTACCACTAGCGCTAGCTACCCTGGGCAGCGCTCCTCCGAGTGCTGCTCCGCTATCCTGAAGACTACACCTGACTACTGACTGACTATCTACCCGTGAAGTGCCTAGGACAGTCCTATGTACTTCTCTCGTGTGCCTCCTGACCTGTGCGAGCAGTCCAGGAGGCTGCTCTTGACAATGCCGAAGGCATGCAGGGGCTGCAGCTGCAGCTCCTGCTCGAGCACGTGAGGAACAGGCTATTCTTGGCCTGTTCCGCATCCCTGTTTACGTGCCTGAGTCTTAGGGGCAGGTCGAAACAATGAGGGCCTGAAAATGGCCCTCCGTTTCAGGCTGGAAAAACTCTGGGT